ATCAATCGACTTAATGACATTTTTCGATTGTTCTACATATGCTGAAAGCATGACAGGTAGTTGTGAGTGATCAAATCTTTATATTTAGTTAGAACGATATAAATATTGTTTTATATGAAAATAAACGATATCTATGTCGTTATCATTGTGATTTGAATTGGAATGATTTCAAACTCACTAAATTTGTACTATAACGATTTGGATGTCATTGTCTTATTTTGTGGGTTTGATACATCCTGTTATCGTTTTAGTACAATTTTGATAACATTGATATCACTTTAGTTTAAATCTTAACTAAAAGGATAATTATAAAAATGACGATTCGATTGTTCACGGTCACCTGACATATATTTGTTGTATATGGGATGATAAAATAAGTCATTAAGTGAGTTCAATCTCATTCAACAAAAAGAACGATGATAATATCTCCATTCGCTCTTTCTAAGATATTTGAGTGCTAAAATCCACTTGATGCCTTCTTTAGGTCATCATATGTCGTTCTAATTACTATTTAAACTGTAATGATTTCAAACTCGTTAAATTTGAAAAGAAACGATGCATATGTCGTTCTAGTTATTAGGGAAAATTTCAAAATCGTTATTAGAATAAGAGCATTTTATACTAGAACGACATTAACGACTTTATGTGTCACCGAAACGAAGTGTATATCGTTACATGAATATGCACAATGTTCACATTCTGAATATGTACAATACACATTCTGAATATGTACAATACGTAAACTTGAAAATTATAAAAATTCGCGAAAACATGTAAATTTTAATTACATTTAATATCGTAGTTATAACGTTCTAGTGTAACCACTCTTAAAACGATATGTATGACATTATAGTTATGATTGAATATGAACGATATCATCGTCATCGAAAAATGAATTGAAACGACATTAATGTTGTTTACTTATTCCATAGCGTGCACCTAAAACTGTTAAACAGTGAAAAAATGTGTGTTTGATATTGAAACGACATATACATCGTTTTTTGTATTTCAGGAACGAGTTCAATGTCGTTATACAAATCAGTTAAGCAGAGTCTATTCGATGTTGAAACGATATCGAAGTCATTTTATATTTCAGGAACGATTTTAATGTCGTTATGCAAATCATGAAACAGTGTCAGCAGCTCATTTCCATTCCACATTTTTATCAAGTTGATAAGTTATATTTTACGATTTCTTCAAACTGGCTTATCGGGATCGACCTTTATTTTAGTTGAATAGTTCTTATTAATTATAAGCTTTAAAATGAGTCCAATATCAATATACTACATCGTTTTTTATTAAAATGTAATTATTGGATTCTAAATAAGATAAACATTTAAAAAATATTTTTTGTCCATTTTTTTTCTAAATATAATGATAAAATTTATTTTTAAAAAAAATCGTGTGTTATAATAGGTGTCTAATGAATAAATGACTCAGTAATTGTTTTCAATTAGTTGCTAAGTTGTGGACAATGTTAAAACTTTGGGTGTATCGGAGATCTATTACGAATAAGAGATGACCTTAAACTTAAAAAGAAGAATTCAAATTCTAACGAGAAGATAATTTTGAAGGGAAAGATTTTTTGAATTTAAAGAAAGAAAATGCTGTGTGTGTTAAAACATGAATGCATAGATATTATAGCCAACCAGATAATCGACTAGAAAGAGACTACCGGGTCAATGGTTCAACCAGTAGGTTATTGTTAAATTTTATTTTTGAAGTGAAAATGAAACAATTTTTTGAAATGTAATATATATATATAAAGGACCATCACTTGCCATAATAGTTGTGAAGTTAAAATATTTTCTTATGATCCAAAGTTGAAGTCACGGCTCCAGCAAATTTAGGAAAAAACTCCAATCTCTTCTTCATTTTTGTTTTACAAATTAAGGGTAAAGAAGTCTTTTGACACTTTTAAATTATTAAAGTTTCTTTTATTTTTGTAATTTTGGTCAAAAGCCAATTGAACAAAATATACATTAGGGGTGGCCTTCCCAACTCATTTCCCCCAAAAAACTAAGTATTCTTATATGATCATTTTGTCTAGGCTTTGAGTTGTACTAATCAAATAGCTCGTTTCATTTTGATCACGATAGTTTTTGCTTCTGCGTCTTGTAGAAGACCTGGATCTTATAACTATGTCAAACGGGCCCTAAATAAGTAGCCATTGGCTTGGTCAGGCACGATCAATTGTCCATGGCCTCGTGATGGTGAACCAACCCACCCAGTTATGATGGTCTAACATGTCCTACGTTTTTGGTACATGGACCAGGCTTCGTGGGGGTGCAGAGACTCAGACGTGTAACATTCACCCAACTACGTGTACTACTACCGATTGCCAACATTCTTGACTACATGCTACCTGTACCCTCCTCAAATTAGCCATAAATGATACATTTATCCTTGTTTGGTACATATTTTTTAACACACTTTTTCTTCTTTTTCTTTTTCTTCTTCTTCTTTTGTTTTTTTTTTTTTTTTTTTTTTTTTTTTGAATTTGTAACTTTTTTGTTTTTTAATTATATATTCTTTGAAAAAAGCACTTATTACAAAGGACATGATTGTTTGACAAAATTCTTTTGTGAAAAGTGAAATTTTTGGAGAGAGAAAATTATGGGTTCACCTCTCAAATTATTTTATTGAAGGAATATAATTGCAAATGAATTTGGAGGAAAACGAGTTTTGAATAATAGATATCAAATAACGGTAAAATCTGTTCTCAAAAAATCTCTACAAAATATAGCAAAATCTATTCCCAAAAAAGTTACCTCAAACA